TGGGCTAACCTGGGGGTGAAGTGGAGTGCTGGCTGAGAATGCCACAGAGTACAGCAATCAAGCAATCACCTAGCCCAAGGACCAGACTCAAAATAAAGAGAACAGATAGAAGTAGAGAAGAGCCCCAGTATAAACCATTTAGCTGTATCTCCTTAACTCCTCAGTGTTTTAGAGCAGTAGACAGAGAACAGGAACCATGAATGCAAGCTTTACCTACTGTCAATAGGTTTCTCATCACTGTACATGGGATCTTCTGGTTCTTTCCTTCCTAACCGTCTATGTCCATCAATGACACGGCATCTCTGACCCTTATGTGCAACCAATCACCACTCAGGAGGGGTAGAAATCTAAAAGATGATAAAATGGACTGGCCATCTAATACAGGAGCCAGTGCAAAATTAAACACATCAACATGACCCAGGAAGCTTCCAAGACCAACCACAAATCCTCTCCTTCGATTTACAGACAGGTTTTTCCTTTCTTAACTGACTCTCCCAATTTGGGATAGCCAGACGGAAGCTTTTAAACACACGTCTTATTCCAGGGGGACAGTTGAAAACCGGCGCCATTTAATGCGACGTAGGTTTAAATGGGACCTATTTTTAACCCATCTACCTTTCTAGGGCAAAAAGTGAGCTCGGAATCCTGTAGTTTAGCGCTTGTCACCGACCCTTTTCTAAAGTCATGGCAATTAGGCCCATGACTGTTAAAAATCTATCTCAAAGCTCCTGTCCTGCGCACATCAATCACAGTCACGGCTGAAAACAAACACAGAATTTTTTTTTTAATTCTTTATCCACACCCAAGGAGAAGTGTGAGGGCAGCCGAGAAATCATGGCGACAGGAACAGCCGGTGCCCAAGGAGGACAGCTGCTCCTGAGACGGCTTTGGGACAGAGCAGGAAACCAACCAGTGGTATTCTTCTCTCCAAATGTCTCTCCATCAGCTCATGCACCACATGTTGGTCCAACAAACTGGTTTTCTCCTTTGAGAGGTTTATGGCGAGAGCAAGAGGGACTCAAGGGAAGCGAGGGGGCGATGCCAGGGATTTGTTGCAACACAGAAAACTAGAAAACGTGTAGCTGTTTACTACAAACGCCCCGGAGACGCCGAGCGCAGCGTGCAGCTGAGCGCTCCCCACCTGGCCCGACCCCGCCTCCCCACACCGCTCGGCGCGTTCGGATATAGGGGCGACGCGCCACCCGCCCTCCCCGACGCGCTAGCGGGACCCCGAGGCCCCCAGCGCGCCGGCCACCCGGGCATCAGCTCCGTCTCCCCTCGGCCCCCGCGCCCACACTGCCCAGCCCAGTTACCTCGGAGGCCCGGGTTGTCGTCTCTAGCCCGAATCTTTCGGATTTTGACGGGGCGCCCGCTCAGGGTAGACAGGACCAGACGCTGGCGCAAGAAGTTGCACCCCGCGTAGCTGAGGCAGTGCGTCTGGGTCGCCATGTGCGCGCCCTCTGCAAAGGCGCGGGCAGTCCGGGAGCTGCGACTTCAGACGGACGCGGAGGGCGCAACCCGAGCGGCGGGGGGATACAACGGCGGTGGCGGCCCTAGCTGCCTCCCGCAGCCCCACAGCCCCCGGCGCGTCCACGTGGTTTGGAACAGGAAGACGGAGAGACTAGACACCGGGTCAGAGGGGAGCGAGGAGGAGCCAGTGGCCGCCTCCCCTCCTCCCCGCCTGGCTGGGGGGGGGGCGGCCTCTGCACCGGGCCACGCTGCTATTGGCTAGCGCAGGATCAGGGTGGTGCCCGCGCCACGCCGCTATTGGCCCGCGCTGGAGCTGGGCGGTGCACAATATGAGCTACCATTGGTCCGTAGTGAAGCTGGGCGGTGCCCGGGCCCCGGCAACAGCGCACGGCTGGAGGGAACGCGGGAGGACGGGGGTAACCAAGAGTCGCCTGCCCCGGTAGTCTGCTAGAGGTCTCTCCCCGCGTGGGGGCAAGGGGAGATGGCGGACTGGGGTTGAGTGCCTTCTACGTGCCGGGTGCTTAGCATCACTGTTTGCGGCGACGGAAGGGATAAGGATGGCATTACCTCCCCCGCCTTTTTCTTAATAGATGAGAAAGCTGGGTTGGGGCGCTTACCCTGTTGCAGGCACTGTGCTGAGCGCTGCGGGCGCGGTTGCCTCGCTCCCCGCTGTAACTCTGAGAGGTAACGCCATCCCGTCTTACTCCTGGGGACAGGCTCGAGGAATAGTGGAAAGCTGACCGTGGCAGCCTGTCCTGGGACCCAAGTCTTCTGG